CCAAGCTTGTTGCTCTGTGGGGTGTGTACCCACATGTCAGAACCAAAGATTCTCATGTGCTTGATGTTGGGTTTCTACCAAACATCTTCTCATAGGGGGTACAACCAATAGGTGATGACAATCTGTGATTAAAAGTGTAAGCAAAATTCGACAGAGCCTCCCCCCAATACTTATCAGGGAGATTGGCATCATGCAACAATGTTTTCATTCCTTGCAGCAACGTTTGATTTGCTCGCTCCGCAAGCCCATTCATCCATGGCGATCTAGGCGTTGACAAGTCATGCTGGATTCCCTTCTCAGTCAGGAAAGCTTCAAACTGCTGAGAAGTGAACTCCCCGCCTCGATCAGTAAACAGACAGCCAATGCGTTTACCGTGAACATACTCCAACCAAGCACAGAATGCCTTGAACTTAGGAAACGCTTGCGATTTCTGCTCAAGCATAAACACATGAATGTACCTGGAAAAAGAGTCAATTAGAACCATGAAGTACCTTGCTCCACCCAAAGAGGGCGCAAGTGGACCAACCAGGTCTGCGTGCACTAGCTGGTAGGGTTTGGAAGCCTGCCTGCTAGACTCCTTGCCTTTTGGAGCAACCTTCACCTTGTTCTCTGCACAAGATACACATTTCATGTGAAACTTACAGGGTTTGATGTTCAAACCCTCAACCATCTCTGGCATCTTGGCCAGTGCCTTCCAAGAGAGGTGGCAAAACCTTCTGTGTGCATCGTGAATGCATCCTGCATGAAGAACTTTGTTAGTTTGTGCAACACAACAAGAATCAACATTAGACACAACAGCACCAATGTCGTCATAAGTTATACAGAACAAGCCATCCATAAACTTTGCATGCAAAATGTCCTCTTTGCCTTTTCTGATGACACAGACGCTCCTCTTGAAGGAAATCTCAAAACCACGCCCAGTAAGCTGTGGGACACTGAGCAAATTGTCTGCAGCACCTGGAACATACAGTACATCTTTGATGGTTGTGTGCAGACTTGCCAGTCTCACAGTCCCTTCTCCTGCGATCCGCAACGTCTTTCCATCAGCCAGGTGGATCTCACCTTCTTGAGGCTTGAAGGAGATAAAGAGATGGCGGTCTTTTGAGACATGGCGGGTACAGCCTGAATCAATAACAAACCTGGCCTTGGCCTTTGGGGCAGCCTTTGCAGCAAGCAAAACCTTGTTTTCCAACGGCGTGGGCTTTTGCAGCTTGCCCCCCTGCTCCTGGCCATCAGACTTGCCTTTAGCCTTTGGTGAGGCTGTGCCAGCAAACAAAGCATTGTTTTTCCCTGGCTTGGGCTTTCCACCCCCTCTGCTTCTTGCCATCTGCTGGCTTCTTCCTTTGTTTATTTCCAGTCTTTGGACAAAACTTCTGAGTGTGACCTTGGGTCCCACAGTTCCAGCACTTCACAGCTGCCAACGCTTTGGCTCCCCCTGGAGGCTGGAATGTTGCCCCACATTGCTCCCCCTGGAGCGCACAAGCCGACTCAGCTGCATGCCTTCTATCGTATTCATTTTGCAAAGTCGCCAAGACCTTTGTAGCAGTGAGGTCTTGCGCAGGGAGGGTCGCCAGCTGACTTGCCACGGCATGGTAGCTTTCATCCAGGGAGTCCAGGATGAGAATTGCAAACAGTGACTCAGGCATATTGAAACCTCTCTGAGTCAATTCCTGTCTGAGATGCTGCAAATGTAAAACGTGGGCTCTAAGGTCTTCCCCTGGCTCCAAACGCTTCCTGTGCAGCTTTCTGAAATAAAGCAACACAGACCCAGCCTCTTGTCGGAGATGACAGGCTCTAAGCCCGTCCCACATCTCACGGGCACTGGCCTTGCCAGCCAGGGTGATTAACTCTTCAGGAGCTACTGAGAGCAAAATTATCCCCATGGCTCTTGAGTCCTGTGCCGTCCATTCATCTGTCACAGGGGCTGGGGGGTCCTCAGAAACGGTATTCCACACTCCAAGCTTTCTCATCTGGCCCTCACAGTACCTTGCCCAGGTCTGATAGTTGTGGCCATTTAGCTTTGGTGGAGACGGAGCAGCTTCTGTTTTTTTTTTTTTATATAAAATATTTATTGGTTTTACAAAAAGAAATTCCAGAAAATACAAAAATACAAAAAGTTCCACAGACAAAAAAAAAAAAAAAAACACACACAAACAAACAAACAAACAGCTTCTGAGGATTGTAAAAGATCCATCTCAGTCTTTTACTTGAGCCGTGAGTCTTATTCACTTCAAAGACCCCTTATCTCGGCTCCCATTAATCACGAAGCCTTTGGCGCGGCTCCCAGATCCATTAATCTGCCGGAGTTCAAAGGCCCTTGCCGCGGCAAACAGAAAAGCCTCACTTTCGCTTTTCCTCCACATACCTTTCAGCAGTCCGTCGCAGTCTTACTCTCCTGTAAGTGCTGTGAATCTGGGCCCATAACCTGTTGTTGGGATACTGCCAGGGAGATAAAGTCCATCAAGGCCCCCAAGCCGTCTGCCGGACGATCCATCGACCTCCCGTAGGCACGCAGCGACATGAGTTTCTAGAAAATATCTTGCCACATTCTAGAGCTCATGCACACTCTATCAGCAGATAGTCACAGCAAAAGTTGCACCCAGGAGAGCATTATTTACAAGTTTTATTCTGCGTTGATCAGAACAAAGAAAGACATGACTGCCTGCGTCAGTGTCTCCAGACACAGAGAGAAAATGAAAGCAACAGAAAACATAAACATCCTGTGAACAGGAAATACGCAGACTCTGTGACTCACAGCCTGCTCCCTTTTAAGGTGGAATGGAAATATCCTAACAAAGCCTCCCCATTGTCTCTTTCCTCACAAATCCTGTCTCAAGGATATGTCTGTTTGAATAAGGTGTGAGCCTGTGACCTGGCCCAGGAAATAAGTATTTTACCACTACAAAAGAATGGCCACGCTCCCCAGGCAATCCAATCAAGTAACTTGCCAGACAGGAGATAAACTGTGACAGGAGAAAAACAACATTTAAATTTCTGTGATGTAGGTGGGATGTATCCGAGGGGTGGTCTTAGGTTACACCCCTTCTGTGATGAATGCATAATGTTTCTGGGGGTGGTCTTGATCTAGAGGATGGGAATTTCAAAAGTCTTTATAAGCCCTTGCACAGCATTTTTGTGGGTCCTCTTCCTCTCCTGCGTGTGAGGGGAGCACCCTGTTGCAACAGATCAATAAAGATCAAGCTTACTAGCTGCTTTGCTTCTCAATATTCTCCGGTTGGCCTCTGTTATTTTCTCCTACCAACAGGGAACCTATGCAAGGACTCTATATGGGCTCTTGGATACCCCATAAAGGAAAAGGGCATATTTTTATTTACAACACTACCCATGGTTTAAAAGGCCTGGAAAGGCTACAGTAATGGCAAGCATTTCCGTGAAAAGCTTTGGGCGCCGCCTCATTCTTTGCCTCCAGAGAAGGGAGCTTTTCGTCCTTGACCCGGCTCTCTTAGCAAATCCACTGCGGAGGTCTTTCCAAATAAGATCACCGACCTCGGGATCCCCTTCTCCTTTGGGAAGACCTCTCCCCTCCTGACGGGAAGAAGGAGACCCCGGTCAGACCATAGCTGTCAACCTCCCCTTTTTTGGAGGGAAATTCCCTTATTCCAGTGCCGCTTCCGGCTGCGATCCCGGATTGTTAGATATCCCGTCGACTGTCCCTGGGACAGGGGAGGCTGCTGATCCCTTCTTTTCCAATCTGAAAGTGGGCAGCTCTGGTTCAGAGGGTCTTCCCCCGGCTTCTCCCTCTCCTGTCCCAGACTCAGCCCCCCATGTGACGCCTGTCCGTCTATCCGCCTGCCTGTCTGCCTGCCTTCCCCAGAGGCTCCACCGGCTCTTCCTCTGGCCAGAGACCAGATTCTCCTGAGAGGCTCCATCCAGAGCCACTTCTCCCTCAGTCCAGGCCTCTCCAGATCCCTCTTTCTGCCTCTATCTCTCCAAAGGAGCCCTGTCTCACTTTAAGGCCCTCTTTGGGGAAGCTTCGCTTTTCAGGGTCGACGTTTTATTATAGCTTTATATGAGCTGGAAGCTGCCCAGAGTGGCTGGGGGAGCCCAGCCGGATGGGAGGGCTATAAATGATAAAATAATAATCATAATAATGATCAATAATTTGCTCTTTTCCCTTCTCTGTCCCTGACTAAAAACTCCCTCAGAAACGGCTCCTTTTCTTTTCCCGCCCAAAGTGCTGGCTCCGCCCCCTTTGACTGGCTGGGCAGCCAATCAGAGAGAGAGAGAGAGGGGCCCCGGCCCCCTGGTGGCCTTTCGGGGGAACTGCACCCCCACTCTGGCCTGGCTCGGCTGTCAATCACCGGCTCCTCCCGCCTCCACCCAGAGACTTCAGATGGCAGAGGAGGAAAATGACTCTCGAGGAGGCTGAATCTCAGCCCAGCCAGAGGCGCTCCTGACCTGGCGCCTGGGGGTCACAGGGACTGCTCTCACTCACTTCTGTCCTCTTTCCCCTTTCTTCCTGGTTTGGTTTAAATCCATTCACGAACCAAGAGCCCGCATCCTGACCCCGGGCTGCGGACATCTCTGCCCATTTTGTGCAAAACATGTCTAAATCTGGGGGTGTTACTTCCCCCTGAAAGGCAGCTGAGGCGTCGCCTGCATCTGGAGGAGCTCTGCGTGAGAGGCGAGGGAAGTTTTTAATCTCTGGTGTTTTATTGATTTTTTAAAATATGTTATGGAAGGCGCCCAGAGTGGCTGGGGAAACCCAGCCAGATGGGCAGGGTATGAATAAAGAAATTATTATTATTATTATTATTATTATTATTATTAATTACAGTGGTACCTCGGGTTCAGTACTTAATTTGTTCTGGAAGTCCGTTCTTAACCTGAAACTGTTCTTAACCTGAAGCACCACTTTAGCTCATGAGGCCTCCCGCTGCTGCCGCGCGATTTCTGTTCTCCTCCTGAAGCAAAGTTCTTCACCCGAGGTACTATTTCTGGGTTAGCGGAGTCTGTAACCCGAGGTACCGCTGTGTTGTTGTTGTTGTTAGCCGCTCTGTGCCCGGCTTTGGCTGGGGAGGGCGGGATAGAAATAAAATTTATTGTTATTATTATTTCATTATTATTATTATTCGAGTCGTGCAAGATAACCCAAACCCCTCCGGAGGGCCAAGCAGGGCTGCCTCTCCTCGGCCTCGCCTCCTCCCGCCCGGCCTCTTTCCCCCTGAATGGGGGGTCCCTCCTTGACCAAGCCCCGCCCGGCATCCCAGGGACCCCAAGGCGCCCCGAGACAAGAGGGGCCAGGGGGGGCTCCGGAAGACCCGCCTCCGCCATTTCCTGTCCTCTCTAGGAGTGCGGCTCAGCTGCTCTTAAGCCTTGGCCCGCCGGGCGCGCCCAGCTGGTCTCCTTTGGGGGGAGCCTGGGGGCCGGAGGAGGAAAAGGAGCCGAGAAGGGGAAAGGGGAGCCCCCTGCCTCCCCGGGATGGGCAGGGTGTTGCAGGAATTTATGTATAGGTTGGGGGGGGGGTTGCCCCTCCAGCAGATCTCATGCACATGCAGCCCACTACCAAAACCAGCACCATCGCTTTTGTGACTTGTGTGATTTGTCCCCACTGTTACGGTAAAATCTGGGTGCGAGGCTACTCTGCCACCCAGCTCGTCGGACTAAGTCCGCGGGTCCCTGCGGAAGGAAAATGAGCTCAGCTGGAGACAGGAGCAAGATGCAGAAGATCCAAGTTTATTGCGCAACAGGTTCAAGACGAGATTGAACAGCGAGAAAGGGGTGACATGAACTTTTGAAATTTCCCTCCATGTCCCAGAATACAGTGCAAAATACATCCCAGTTACATCATGAATACATTAAGAAGAGGTTGGGTTACACAGATTACATCATGAATACATTAAGAAGAGGTTGGGTTACACAGATTACATCATGAATACATTAAGGAGAGGTTGGGTCACACAGGATTAACATATGGAGGAGGGAGGGGGGAATATGCAGAGCTGGAGATATGCGCAGATAAGCACATCCTGAGAAGACAATGGTCCATGTATGCATAGTCTGTCACCTGGCATCGCCCGGAGGAAGGGCTTGGCAGAGCAATTTGACAGGATTAGGGTCTTGACACCTTGCTTGAGGGATTATGGAGGACAGGGGAGGTGTCATGGAGTCCTAGAGAAATTGAGCAAATTGGCATGTTGGTTTTCTATGAATTTTATAGATTTTAGTCCCTTTTGACATTGACAATTGGAAATAAATGGATATATTGTAATGAAGAAGGAGGTGAAGAAGACATTGCCCCCCCCTTCCGTATCACCACAAAACACTTCGTCGCAGTTTCTTCCTGTCTATTCAAAGGGCCTTTGCTGCACGATACCAAATGTAGGAATTCACTGATCAATGTATCTCTGTACTGGCTCACTGGGGAAACTTCAGAAATTCATCTAGACCTGTGAGCTCAGCTCCTCAGCAGCCCCTCTGCCTGAGTGATATTCCCTGGCCTCCTGATACCTGAGTGCCAGAAATCACAAACCCAGTTGAAGACAAAAGGGTGGGATGAACTTGGCTGGGAAACAGGGAAATAGAAATATCTTTTTTTGTTCCACTTGATGGGTGTTTGGTGGAGGGCAAGGGGAACCATGGGGCAGGGTCCAGGATGCTCAGATTCCGGCCACCAGACCTCCCCTTTCATGATGTACCCATGATGTAGTTTGGGGGGTGTAACATGGGGATGAGCAGCTAATAAAATTTGGGTTCTCTTTTGTTTGGGGCTTCCATCTTGTTCCACCTGGTGGCAGGTGGGAGTCCTGTCGCCACAGTCTTCAATCAAGACCAAGCCGACTGGCTGCTGTTTTGCTCTGGTATTCCGGGCTGGTGTCCTTGTTTTTTATCCAAGGGAGCTCTCAGATTTCTCCGTTAACAAGGGCAGGAGGCAAAGCGAGGGCAGCTGTGATAGGAATTTTATGGTTTTAGATATATGGCAACGTTCATAACCACACGTACATGGATCAGCACAGGAAGGCCAACCTGGAACCATTTTGATTCCTAAACTGAGCAAATGTTTCTCTGCATGGTAAAGATGGAAAAGCCTCCCCATTGTGTCTTTCCTCACAGATCCTGTCTCAAGGATATGTCTGTTTGAATAAGGTGTGAGCCTGTGACCTGGCCCAGGAAATAAGTATTTTACCACTACAAAAGAATGGCCAGGCTCCCCAGGCAATCCAGTCAAGTAACTTGCCAGACAGGAGATAAACTGTGACAGGAGAAAAACAACATTTAAATTTCTGTGATGTAGGTGGGATGTATCTGAGGGGTGGTCTTAGGTTACACCCCTTCTGTGATGTATGCATAATGTTTCTGGGGGTGGTCTTGATCTAGAGGATGGGAATTTCAAAAGTCTTTATAAGGCCTTGCACAACATTTTTGGGGGTCCTCTTCCTCTCCTGCGTGTGAGGGGAGCACCCTGTTGCAACAGATTAATAAAGATCAAGCTTACTAGCTGCTTTGCTTCTCAATATTCTCTGGTTGGCCTCTGTTATTTTTTCCTACCAATAGGGAACCTATGTAAGGACTCTATATGGGCTCTTGGATACCCCATAAAGGAAAAGGGCATATTTTTATTTACAACACAGCTCCCGGCCCGGAAGATGCCGCCTCCTTGGGACTCCTGTTTTGTAGAATACAGGATTATCCCGAATTTCCATGTAAAATTCAATAGGGAGTGATCCAAGAGAGTCTGGGAGAATCTGATGCTAACTGCCAATACCAAGATGAAAGTCTGCCTGATTTGCACGTTCACACGCCTGTCTCAGAGGATGGGAAAGAAGCAGAGCTCTTAAGACAGGATGGCAGATTTGACCACATAGGCCAGGGGTAGGCAACCTAAGGCCTGGGGGCCGGATGCGGCCCAATCACCTTCTCAATCCGGCCTGTGGACGGTCCAGGAATCAGTGTGTTTTTACATGAGTAGAATGTGTCCTTTTATTTAAAATGCATCTCTCGGTTATTTGTGGGGCATAGGAATTTGGTCTTTTTTCTTCTTTCCAAAATATAGTCCGGCGCCCCCACATGGTTTGAGGGACGGTGAACCAGCCCATGGCTGAAAAAGGTTGCTGACTCCTGTTATAGGCATTACTGGGACCTGGTGGGATGAGACTCATGACTGGAATGTAGGAATTGAGGTGTATAACCTGTTCAAAAGGAACAGACCAAACAGGAAGGGAGGAGGAGTAGCATTATATATAAAGGATGGGTACACTTGTGAAGAAATCCATGACCTGGAGCATGAAAATCAGATTGAGAGTATATGGGCAAAAATGGTTGAGAGAGAAACCACCGTGACCGTACAGTGGGGGGTCTGTCATAGAGCGTCAAGCCAGACTGAAGGCTTGGGTGATGCCTTCCAAGAGCAGATGACCTCTCTCCTCAAAGGAGAGAGATAGTAGTCCTGGGAGGCTTCGATTTCCCCAGCATCTGTTGGAACTCAGAATCTGCCTCCCTGACAATTTCATTTCCCAACACTAGGATCTCCCGAGGCCCTTCTCTATGTCCCCTCTCCCCGAGAGGTTCAGAGGGTGACAAGATGAGAACCAGCCTTTTCTGTGGTGGCTCCCTGTCTCACCCCAGGTAGCCTGGCTTGTTAGGCGACCACAGCAGCAGCACAAATATATCCTAATATCCTTACCTTCTAAAGTCTCTCTCTCTGTCTCTTGGTCTTTCTCCTCTTTCTCTCTTACTTTCTCTCTTTTAATTCCGTTTCCATTCTATTCCTCTCTGGATTAATGTTTTACTTTGGAATATATATATATATATGGACCCCTGACCATTAGGTCCAGTCGTGGCCGACTCTGGGCTTGCGGCGCTCATCTCGCTTTATTGGCCTAGGAGCCGGCGTGCAGCTTCCGGGTCATGTGGCCAGCAGGACTAAGCCGCTTCTGGGGAACCAGAGCAGCGCACGGAAACGCTGTTTACCTTCCCGCCAGAGCGGTACCTATTTATCTACTTGCACTTTGAGGTGCTTTCGAACTGCTAGGTTGGCAGGAGCAGGGACCCAGCAACGGGAGCTCACCCCGTCGCGGGGATTTGAAGTCCTAGGCTCTGTGGTTTAACCCACAGCGCCACCCGCGTCCCATTCTCCATATTCTTGTTACCACCTTTGATGACTCACTTTTTAAGCAACAGCCCCAGAAGGGAAAGAAATTACCGTATTTATCGCCCCATAGGGCGCACTTATTTTTTTTTGGGGGGGGGAATAAAGAAAAAAAATTATTCCCCCCCCAAGCTTGCCGGGCTGGGGGCGGGGGAACCCGAACTTCCCCAGCCCCCAGAAGGGGTCCGAGAGCGACGGTGAGGTTGCATTCAACCTCGCCATCGCTCCTGGAGCTTGCGGGGCTGGGGGCGGGGGAAGCCCGAGCTTCCCCCAACCCCAACCCCCAGAACGGGTCCGGGAACGATGGCGAGGTTGTGCTCAACGTCGCCATCGCTCCCGGAGCTTGCTGCTATCCGAAGCCCAGGGAGCGCAGCGCTGTAGCCCGCTGCACACCCCGGGCTTGCGGATAGCTGCCCTAAGCCCGGGGTGCACAGTGCCGCGCTCCCGGACTTCAGGCTGCAGGAAGCTCTCCGCACGCCTTCGGAGCCCGCGGGCTCCGAAGGCTTGCGGAGAGCTTCCTGAAGCCTGGAGAGCGAGAGGGGTCGATGCGCACCGACCCCTCTCGCTCTCCAGGCTTCAGCAAAAGCCTGCATTCGCCCCATAGGATGCACACACATTTCCCCTTCATTTTTGGAGGGGGGAAAGTGCGTCCTATAGGGCAAAAAATACGGTAAATAAAGGTTTTGCTTCCATGTAAATAAATGGCAAGAAAAGCCTTCCGTGCCCACATTTGGACAATTTTGCACAATTAGAAATAAATGGGTGACACTTTTTTCTTTTATGGATCTCCCCACGGGGTAAAAAACCAGAAGGAAATACCCCATCCAACTTCTCTCTTTTTAATATTTATATTTTATTGAACATTTTTGGAAGAGCAATGAAGTGGGAAAAGTCAGAGAAAGGTCAAAACAAAACAAAGCAAAGTGCTTGAAACTGATACTTTGCAATATAGAAGTAGTCCGATTATTGTAATAGTAGAAAACTATGAGCACGTCACCGTGCTTTATAGCAATGCATTCCAAACACCATTCTACTTGTCTGTACACAATCTACGTCTAAAAGCAATCTGTTCATATATTGCAAGAGTAGTCCTATCTTCTCCCTGTTATTCCAAGGGAGTCGCAGATTTATCTTTCCAGTGAATTGTGGCAAGGATTTACTTCTACACCACTTGGCTGATACCCAGCAGAGGGAACACCTTTAAATAAAACACAGAGCCAAGGGAATAACAGCAAGTCCACTTAGGGTCAGGGTCAGGGTCAGGGTCAGGGTTTGCAGTCTGACCTATTTTCCTTTGTATAAGAACAAGCGCGAAGGAGGCCTCCCAGCCTCTTCACAGGTCCTTATATGTGAAAACAGTTGGTCCTGGCAAGTATTAACTGCTCTCAGTCTTAACCTGTCAACTGCCGTTGGTCCAGTTTTTAATTTGTCTGAATTAATTTTAAGATGTATTTTAATTAATTGATGCCTGTTTTTATGTATGCTGTGTTATTTATATGATGTTAGCCGCTCTGAGCCCGGCTCTGGCCGGGGAGGGCGGGGTACAAATAAAATTTATTATTATTATTATTATTCAAAGATTATAAAGTTTAGAGGACTCTCCCACTGCTTGTAGGCAGGGTTTGCAGTGAATCTTGCCTGATGTGTTTGGGATTCATGTCTCATCTTGGAAGTCCAACAGGCAAAATAGCTATGCAAATAGCGACGATGATTAGCAGAATAGCTCACCATCTGATGATTTAGTTTAGTGTTAGGGCTGAGCGATACTTTCTTTTCAACATCGTGATATATCAGCAGCTAAATACCGGTGTATGCTGATATATCGTGACGACTGGAATTTATATTGGCTGCTTCTTCCCGCCTTCGGGAAAGAATAAGCAGCCAAGATACATGGTCCAGCTCTACACAGTCAGCTACTCAGCGGTAGATCACTGGTGAAACTGCCGCCGCTCCTGAGTCCCTCTGCCTCCAGCACAAGCCAAGAGTGGTGGTGCTTTTGTTTGCAATATACCTCCAAGTGAAGTCGCCATCACATTCTGCCCCTCAAGGAATGCTCTCTCATATAAAAAGCCTTCTGCATATAGAACACTTGCAAGTTAGAGACACAATTGCTTTTTTAAAAAAATTCAGTTGTAGTGCAGCAATGGAGACAGGTTTCTCCTACTGTCTGGGGATAGGCAATTTGTGGCAATATCACAAATTTTACGGTATTTT